AAAAGAAGACTTCAATTTGATTGGTCCATAATTTTCAATATTTATCTCTTAATAGTTATTTAAAGAGATAATTAGGGGAGAGAGTCTTGGAAAAGAAGACTTCAATTTGATTGGTCCATGAATTTCCACTTAATTATCTCTTTAATAATTATTAACAGAAATAAATATTTAGTTTACTCTCCAAGAAAATGACATGTGGCATTCTTTAATTGGCCTTCAAAATATATTAAATAATCAATTAATTAACTATTTAATTTAGGAATTAAAATTTGATTAATTTCCCAAATAAAATAGAAAATTATTAAATTGATTTTGACATGGAATTTGACACTTGTCGCCATTTTATTGGCTCAAAATTTAATTGTCTACACCTGCCTAGTGTAAAATTTTTATATTGCATATTGCATCTTATAATATAATAATTCCAAAGTTAATATATCTCGTGTATCGCACATGTTACGTACTATATATATCCCGTAAATTTTTCTTTTTCATTTATATACTTATAAAGTTGGATAAATGTCCTTAAAATTGTACACTCCGTGCATCGCACGGGCTCTGTACTAGTTTTAAGTTATTCTCCATAAAAGGCTTACTTTTACATTCTAATTCTCAATTTAAGACTCCAACTAATTTTATATTTTTACATAAATATATAATCCAAATACTATTATTTTAATATTTATATTTTAAATAATTATAAATGTCTTTAATACTTTAGTATATTTTTCTAAATAGATTATTTAATTTTATCACATATTTAGATTAAATTAAGTTAAAAATTTATTTTTTAACTTTTAAAATAACTTTCATTAAGCTTTTGTATAAATGTGAATTATAATTTCACTAAGATATTTAATATTTATTTATTATATGTACTTAAAAAATAGATTTTAAAAAAAGTATTATGTTTTACATAATTTTGTTAAAATAAAAAGAAATTTAGAGACTTAAATTGAAAAGTAGAATCTAAAAGTAGGCCTTATATTGAGAATAATTTAAAAATGAAACCCTCAAGTGAAAAGGTTAAAAATATAGGCCCTATTATGACACAATACCTAAAAATGAGGCCCTATATTAAAATTTCCCCTTTATTAAATAGGTAAAATTAAATGCTAAGCTAGCAATGTATATATATATATATATATACATTATTAAAAATACAATTGTCTATAAGATTCTAAAGTTGTTTAACTATGCTATTAAAACAATTTACTAATTGTTTTTAAAGAAATTTTTTATGAGATACAAAAAAAAAGTTAATATAGATGTTAAAATACATAACTTGAAACAATTGTTTATAATTATGTAATTTATATTCATTCTGAATTATTATTAGTTGGTATTAGCAATAACTAATATATAATATAATAGAAACATATATGATTATACTCATTAAGATGTATTAAAGTGAGAAGTAAAAAATATTAATGCCAAATGTTGTAACCGAAAATGGAGGGAAAATTTTAGAGATTTTATTAAATATGTTTTATTAAATGCTACATGCCAGCAATTATATATATAGAAGATTGGATATAATGGTAATTTTCTAAACATGGTGAATTTCCAACATATGGCCAATGTTTTAATACTGTACCGTACCGACCGGTAATACCAGATACCGACCATTGATACGGTATAATCAAACTCAAAATACCGGATTCACGGTTATACCGATTTGTATCGGGATCATACCGTAAAACGGCAAAATACCGGTCCAATAAAAAAAATTGATTTAAAAAAATAAAATTTAAATTGGTAGTTAAAATATTTTATTTTTATCTCATTGAGAAGTTGAAATTAATTAATGATTATGATCATTCATTTTTTTACTTTTTTGCATTTGGTATTATATTTTTTTATATATATTTATATATATCATCATATTTGTTAATCTGATAATACCAACAATATTAATGGTCCGATCAATAATACCGCGCGTACCGTGACTAGACCGGGTGAAACAATTCCCATTTTGTTTAGGTTCGGCGCCAGCTATCGAATACTCTCTCGAAAGACAATCGGAAGAAGTTAGTCCGTTCGCTCATTAAGCGAGAGTTGATTTGCAAGAGCTACCGACACCGATAAACCCTTCACGAAATGCAACCGTCCGAACGCCAGAAGCAAATCCCCGCCCCCGCCGACGTAATCGACCTCGACAGCAGCGACAGCGAGGACGGTGGACCCGCGGCGGCGGCTGGCGTTTCGCGTGCCAACAGAACCGGTAACGGCAAACAATCAAACAATGCGAAGTCGCTGACCAAGCCGCTTACGGAGACTCAAACGGCAGTCAGAATCAACAGTGGCGATGCGTCGTCGGCGAATTATCAGCCACTCGAGAATCGTAGTTTCTGGAGAGCCGGAGCTTACGAGATTGGCCCCACTCTCTCTACTTTAGAGCAAGGTTTGTTCTAATTCATTCTGTTTTTGAGTTTTATTTTTAATCCCGATTTCCCTTTTGTTAATTTTTGTTATGGGCGTGTAACCTAAATTATAGGTGATCTGGAGCATGCTCGTGTTCATCCAAGGTTTCTGCATTCAAATGCCACCTCCCACAAGTGGGCCTTCGGAGGTTATAACATATAATTTCTGTTCTTCACTATTTTTAGATGTCTGATTCAGTGGAGGATTTCAGGCTGCAGTGACTGAAAATGAGATGGGTATATTCAGGATAAACTATAGTTCATGCATGAATAACTAGCATATGATATATATTTTCTATTTACGTTTTTTATTGAGCATATCATCAATAGCTTGACCATATGTTACATTACCGTAGTAAAGGCATGAGAGAAGTCAATAGTAAAGGAAAGTAAGAAGCTAGGAAAGATGCAGATGCTGTCGCCACGTTTTTTAATGCATTTTCCCTTGACATGGATTATTTGCAGCTATTGCTGAACTGTTGGACAATGCAGTGGATGAGGTAATTACCATCGACATTGTAATGACATGTCATCGTTATTTCCTCTCTGAATATTTTTGATGATGTTAAGGTTTTCAAATCTTTTTTCTGCATCACATGCACCAGTTTTATATGATTATGAGCATAAGCAGTAAAGTTTCTACTTCCAGGTTTTGGGGCTTTTGTCTAATTTAAAAAGTTTAAAACATTCGCTTGTATTTTCCTTAACTGCTGCAAGACTGTGAATTGTAGGTTCTCAAAGAAAGAAAGAAAAAAAAAAAAAAAACCTTCTGTGAATGGATTGATCTTTTTACCAGTCGGTTAATTTTGATTACCGTGCATCTTAGTTGTGAGATCTTCTTAGTAGTTGTTGAAGGAACTGTTTGGTTTTATAGTGAACAAACTCACACCGTTACTTGGAGTTGTTTCCTGTGCACTAAGGATTACTTTTACTTGTTCTAGGCAAATGACATGTTTCAATTACATACTCCCATCTGATACTGTTTTTTACAATCTATTTGGGAAATCTTCAACAGTTGAGTAGATCTTTGTTTTCTTAATGGATGTCTATTCAGATTTATCTCTTTGTAAGACTTTTTCCTTACTAAGGAAAAAAGCTATCTTAGATCCTCAATATCTTCTTGAATGATATTCAAATGACGGATGGTTTATTTTAACAATGATCGGACTCATAAAAATGAAAGAGTAGATGAAAAGCAAAGAATTGATATGTAAGCATCAAAATGGAGAAATCAAGATTGTTTTGAAAGACCTAGTGTTGAAATAAAGTAAGTCTTTGACTGTAATAAAATATACAGTGACTTAAAATGATAGATTTTCCATCCATTTTTCTCTCAGTACTACTACAGGTACCTGAGAATTATTTGATGAAACCAAGGTCATATAAAATTGTACGAATCTAAAGTTGATGGTGCTTACATTGAGGATAATGTTAAAATCAAGCAAACTAAGTGCGCCATTAAGTTTAGAAATGTGTAAGGTCTCATTGTGATACAGAGAATCTGGCTTCTCTAAAGCAACTACATTGAGTAATTCTTGTAGGGACTCATTGTGATATAGTTTTTGAAACTTAATCCAGGTACATTCTATAATTTATTAAATGCACATTCCATAGCCTAAAATTTGAAAATGAAGTACAAGAAATTTTAGAGCATCCTTAAGTTGGGATAATTTATTTGTTCAAAGGTGATATTTGAACTTTATATTTCAAATCAAAATAGAATTGTACAAGAATATCTCTGTTCCGAATGCCTACGAAATATTCAGATCCTCTTAGAAGGAAAATCCTCTGATACCACAAACTCTGGATATGTCTTAAAACCAGATTGGCAATGGGGCAACATTTGTGAGGGTTGATAGGGTTTATAACACAAAGGACAATTCTCCTGCCTTACTTTTCCAAGGTGCTGGATTTTTTTTTTTAGTATTAGCTCCTTGTAAAGAAATAATGGCAATGTTTCTTAACTTTGTTTATGCAGATATGTTAAAAGAATTTCCGGTTATTTGCAGATGATGGTGGTGGAATGGATCCGGAATCTATGCGGAAGTGCATGAGTCTGGGATACTCCTCAAAGACATCAAACAAAACCATTGGACAGTGTAATTTACTTATTCTGCTAATCTGTGTTAACCACTGCTGGTTTCTGTGTTTGGGTAATCTGTGTTAACAACTGCTGGTTTCATTTGTTTTGTTTTGATCCCATGGTCCTATCAAGTGCCACATAGTAGACAACCACTTCTGACAGTGTTTTGCACTTTCCAAATTGTGTTGTGCTTTCTTGTTTATCGAAATCGACTCTCTGCTTCTCATTCATCGAAATCTGACATATATTTGATGATTTTTAACTCTAAGTTTAACCTTTCTTCATTCTAAAGTGCAATTATGTAGAAGTTTTTACATATTTTTCATCATTTTCCTTCCACGTAGCATTACGACCCAGATATATTTTTTCTTTATTGAGACTTAAACAACAGGTCAGGCTGTCACAAGACACCTTCATTACCCTAGCTGGTAGATTAGTTGGTCAAGAAACTTAAGGAACATATGTTATAGGTTGGGAGTTACAAAAAACACAACAGGATCAATATCATATTGTGATCCTTACCTTCACACTTAAATTGATTTGGCCATGTTGGCCAGTTACATGTTTCTTAAAGTGAGTTCTTGATTTATGCCAACTCTTCCTGTTTTATTTTGGGTCTTTGCATACAAACCTCACCATCCGATTCTCAGTTGGAAATCTGCAATCTGATTGTAGTCTGGCTGACAGTTTATCACTGTCTTGTATTATGCTTTAAGTATTTGTGATATTTTAATTAGCAATATATATATTTTTTGAATTCTAAAGCTATCTATCCTATACCAGATGGAAATGGATTCAAAACAAGTACCATGCGACTGGGAGCTGATGTGATTGTTTTTAGTCGTGCATCTCGATCAGGGTATTCATTTCTTTTATAGTAACTTATTTGCTTAATTTGAGCCATGGTAAACCTGATGCTTGCTACATTTGAAATTTATTTTGGGGCCGTGCATCTGAATCCTTTTGAAATCATGTACTATCAAAACTTGGAACATGGTTTGGCAGCTTTGTGTGTGGGAAATATTGTTATAGGTGGGTAAAGAATGTTTAAAACTGTGATTTTTTTTTTTTTT